GTTAACAAATGTTTTTAAGTGGAACAGACCTGGAAGATATCTCAGAGCTCAGTGGGTTTAGTTTCCTGATTTTAGAGCTGAGGAAACTGGAGTTGAGAGATATGGAGGTGACTTGCTCAAGGCCATGCAAGCAGCCTGTGGCTAAATGAGGATCGGGTTCCATGGCCCTCCACGCCACCCCTGTCTATTGGTGAGCACCATTCTATCTTGTCTTCTCACGCTTCTGCTCATTATATTTATTTTGGTCTTTTTTGTTCTTGGCAACTTCACCTTACCCTCACACTTGGAACAGCTTCTTTCCCTTCCTCTTCTCAGTCACACACATTGCTAAGTAACCGTCATACGTCAGATGATGCACTCTGCCCAGAACTGACAAGTGTGAGTATGACCGTGCCAGTCTCCATGCTCATGCTGAAGCCACTCCTTTGGATGGGCCATTCCTTATTCTTGGGGTGTAATTCATCTCCGTGACCCCCTTGACAACTCCTGCCAACATACACAGCTATTCTCCTGCCGCCTCCTCTGAGAAGTAGCCAGCTCCCTCTTTTCTGGCATCTGCCTCATTGCATTGCTATTACATGTGCATACATCTCACTCCCCTTACTTAAGACAAGCACTCCAACTCTAGTGTGATTCCTATCACACAGTAGGTCTCAATAAATGCTTGGTGAGCAATTGAATGAAGGGTGATGAAGGACTGGATCCATGATATGGCTGCCTTTGAGGCTGGTTTCTTCCATTCTCTCCTACCATGGTTTCCTTGCAGCCACTCACAGATGGTCAGTACGTTTTATTCTTGGAGCTGTTACTACCTATGATTTGCCAAATGCTAAGTTAGTCCCCATTTGACAGGTGAAGAAACTGAGCTGCAGAATAAACTGACTGCGCCAGGTCACATGGCCAGGAGATTTGTACTGAAATTTGACCCTGAGAATGCCTGACTCTCAGTGTATGAACTCTGCTTCATTGTCTCATATGCCTTATGCTTATATGAATATACTCATTTACTTATAAAATTGAAATATTTAATTAAAATTCTATATGAAGAACATTTTCTGCTCCAACTCACACTGATTTCTTTGGCTATAAAGGTAATCACTGCCTTTCACTTTAATTTTTTATGGTACATAGATGGTTACCATGCATGCTTGTGCTGTATGACTTTCAAGGATTCAGGTAAATATTATGTTTTATGTTTTCTGAAATTACCTTTGGTAGTATATATGTGTACAGTGAACAGATTTTTATGATCGTGTGATATGTGAAAGAGATTGAAATCTCTGTTTTTGAAAGAGGGCCAACTTGAGTTGGTGCAGTTAAGCAATCCATCTGTGGTCTCACAATGAATGGTGGCATAATTTTGACCACAACCAGGAAATAAAAGGGAAGTAAGCACAATTTATTTCTTGACCTACTCATTCTCAGTATCAGATCTTTCCAATCCTTAAACATGGCATTATAGTCTGATGAAGCTATAAGGTGTGTCAATTCTCAAGACAAATAGCATTTTTTAAGGGTATCTGAAAGATTGAAAAAACTTTAAAATTCAAGTGTTAAACCACAATGGCAGAATAATAGATAATCAGTAATTTAGGTAGCAATAGATGCTTATACTGAGACGTGATGGGACCAGGATCACTTAAGAATAAGATCTCACTTTCTCCCATTATCTGATTTCTTAGTAACATCCAATGCAATGCTGATGCCAGTTACCACTCTTGGTTGTTGATTTTTCTTTCTTACCTACACAGAGCTCTGAGGTGGGCACCAAAGTAAACCAGGGCTGTTGGAGGCTGAGCAGAGAGATTCAGACTGGCATGGGTTTGGAGGAGACATGAAGCAAGGTTCTGTGGGAGGACACTGCAGGCAGGCAAAATTTCACCTGAATTGTTTGATCCTGAGAGTGGCTTGTATTTTATGTGGAAGGCAAACCCTGAGATAAGACATTTGATAAGAACTTGTTTTGGTAGACCGTAAAAATGTAGTTGGTCACATAATTCCAGGAAATGCAAAGCAGCTCTTCAAGTCTTGGAATATGTATATCCAACAGGATGGGAGAGGGAGAGGAGGGAAGGAGGCTGAGGAGGGGAGAAGGAGGAAGGGCTGTTTAATGGGTATCTTTCTGATCTCTAACACTGATCTATTGATCATTGTCATGTGTAATGCACCCATGAATACTGAGGGGACTCCTGGCCACCCACCTTGGGTGGTGGGCACTAAGGGATGGTTGCTACTTAGAGAGGACATGGGAGTCTGAGTTCTTCATGGCATGGGGGCTGGAGCAGGGGACAGTTTCTATGCAGGCTTTGGACATCACTGGCTTGCTGGCCAATTGGTGTTCCACGTGTGTTTATGTATGTGTGTGTAAGAGCACATGGGCATGTGGATTTTGTCTTTCTGCCCTTACTATTTTTAAATGGTCTTCTGCATGAATTCTGTTCCTGGAATTATTCCAACCACTGAGCTTATTTTTTCATATCTCAGCTGCACTTTAGGTTATTGGGTACTAGAAAATAATAAAGATTGGGGTGTTGGTATTTCTTATCTACATAGTTTTGTTACTGTCTAACTCCTTTAGGTGCTTGTCCTTCACATATTTGCAGTCATTTTATGTCATTGTTTCAGCATCTGGCAATTAACTGCAGGATTGGGAAATAGTTTTATGATGTATACTAAGAAGAAAGTAGTAACTTTGTTTTTAACTGCTGTTTTTATTTTTAGTGTTGTCCTTCTACAGTCGCACTGTGATGACATGTCAGTAGCTCTGCCATAGTTACCACTAGATACGTGGAGAGTACAGAGGTCTGTGGGCTAGCAGCCTATCTGCAACACTGCCCACATCTTACAACCTTTTCTGGGTCTCTAGATTCCTTGGAAAGAAACAGTACTTTTTGCTTCATGAAAAGAGGTTAAACCTCTCGAGAGCTCTTTTATTTTGCTTTTGATTTGAGAGGTTAAATACTGAATGAATAACTTAATGTAGAAAGCACTTAGGAGTCAAACAATGGATAAGATAGTCATTTTCTCCTGCTATTATGGAGTTTATATTCTAGAAGAAAAACAGGCTTTAACAAAGACCTAAATACTTAATTGTTATATTCCAATTTTAATTGTGTTGTAGGTGGAACAATAGGGTGCTATGAGAAAATAGAATAGGGGACCCCTATTTTGGATATGCTGAAAAGGTGGCATTTAGGTAGAAATATGACAGATGAAAAGATATTAGGCTGGTGAAGGTAGTGGGCTGGAGGTGGGGAGAAAAGTTGTGATTCAGGTGAGGATATGACTGTGATAAAGACCTAAGGCAGGGAGGTGTGACTAGAGAATTAAAAGGACGGTAGAGCTGAGCGGGTGTGGTGGAGCATGCGGTATGATCAGGCTAAGGAAATGGCTGGCTACATCACGTGTTTTAACTTTTTTCTAAGAACAACGCAAAGGTTCTCAAGCAGGGCACATCACAGCCAGATATGTGTTTGAAGAAGAGGGTCTGGCTGCTGCTGGGAAGCGGGTTGGCTCACAGGGGATGTAGAATGCAGGGATATGGGAACAGTGTAAGCTAGGGGTGATGGTGGTGCTTTCACGCTTCCTGTGTCTACTGCATCTGGGATGCTCGATCAGGATGAATTGGTGCTAGCCAAGGGTGGTTTCTCAGTTTTAAAGTGAGAGCATTAAAAGGTTTGGCAGCCAGTCCTCTAAACCAACTCTGTATCTCTTATTTTGGGTTGTATTTAAGGATGGCTATGTTTCCTTATAGCTTAGCACCCTGCAAAATTTATAGCAGCAGTTTCTATGAGCACTGGCTTTTGTAATTTTGTAATAGTGAAGGTTTGTTATTTAACAGCCATCTGGCTGCCAACATTCTTGCTCTTATTATTATTGTTTTTTGATAGTTAGCGTGCCGTGCTTTGGAAATTCCATAGCTATTGTGTAATATCAGTGACTCAGGGAGGCAGGAGTCCCTGTGCAGGGGAAACACCCCCAGCTCCTGATGAACATCTAGATGTGAGTGTAAGTATCAGATGAACCCTGACTCTGCAAGTCAGGGGCCAGGTCAGGTGCCCATCTCTGTGCCAGTACTCTGCATGCTGATGCTAACAATGTGAGCTACACAGCTCTGTGGCCACGAAGATGCAGCCCCCTAAAGACAGAAGCCATCGAATAGTGGGAAAGTCTTTTCACTTAGTTATTTAGTATATTGCATCAGGTTCTTACCTTTTGGTAGGCTGGAATCAACATAATACAGTGGGAAGGCCACAGGCATTGGAGATAGGCATCCTGTGGAGCTCTGAACCTTAAGCACATAGTTAACATCCCTTTAACCTGACTTTCCTCACCTGTGGAAAAGGGATAATTGTAACTACCCTTTTGGGATGCCTGTGAGGACTAAATGGAATGGTGTATATAAAGTGCCCTGTGTGGCCGTCTACCTTGCGGGCATGAGAAAACTGGGTTTCCTTCCTTACATTAACCATGTAATAACTAGCTTGCCTGATGGCACCCAGGGGCCCTAGCCTTTCTGCGGTAATGGTATCATCACCACATCCTCATGTTCTGTAGTTGATTTGTGGGAATTTCACTTATCTGTTCTGTTCCTTCCTTCTGAGGGCATGGATAATTGAATATGCAGTAGAGGGTTGAGGCAAATAAGGTTATAAACTCTGAGGAACATCTCACTATCATTTGTAGACTGTCAGGAATATAATACAATGAGACTGGCATCTGCTCTGACAAGCGCTTGAGAAGATACAGTGTTGCTCTCAAATAGTTAAAAGAGTAGATCCTTCATCTATAAATGTATTGAAATATAATTTAAATCTTTGATAATCGTCTACTACATCTTTGGGTAGTAGGTCTATGAATATATTAACTGCATCCAAAGAAGTGCCTTTTCATCGAGCCAAAATTTGCCTTTCCAGTAATCTCATGTTCTTGGTTCTAATGTTTTCTTGGATTGGAGGATAAATTCTTACTCATTGTACCCTTGCTTTCATTTCAGGCAGCTGAGCTATAGTGAAAAAGCACTGAACTTGGGCTCAGGAGATTGGCTTACAGTCTCACTCCTGCTGCTTGTCATTTGGATAGACACAATTTCTTCGAGACTCAATTTTCTCTCCTGTGAAATGGTGATGATTCTACCTGCTCTGCCCTCTTTCTATATTGGCTGTGAAGATCAAAGGATTTTGTTGAAAGGTATGTTAACTGTAAAGCACCATACAAATGGTTTTATCATAACACAGAGATTAAAAACAATTCTGAGGTTAGGGCCTCCTCCAGTTCTACTGAGTCAGAATCTCTGGTGGTGGGACTCTGGCACTTATACTTGAAAATATATAACTAAGTAAGTGTTGAAATCCACTGCTCTATACAGGTATAGGATGCTATTCCTATTCCCAATATTACACTACACACTCTTTTGTCTTGCCAGATGAGCTTGAATCCTTCTGGCACATCTCAGTGGTAGCTTTTTCTCCTCACACTCTAAGTATTTTCAGATCTAGCCCCATCCTCCTCTTCCATTCTCATCTCCTGTATTGTCTTTCTTCAGCCAAGTTCTCCATCCTCATCAGACTAGTTGCCATTCATCGAAAACCCTATTCACTTCCTTGCATTTGTGATTCTGCTCAGTGATTCCTTGAGAGGATGTTCTGCTGGGCTGTGGGCACCTGGTCTTCTTGCAGCACTAAAAACTGAGGTGTAGGCATTTCAAAGAGGAAGTGATTTTATGACCATTCATTTTAGCTTCTGCTTTATTGTGTATTGAAAACCCGGAGACCCAAAGAAGGAAAGTAACTTTCCCAAGGTGACACAATGAGTTAATGATAGAGTCAGGATTAGAATCCAGGTGTTCAGACTGCAGAACAGTGCTCTTTACATCCCTTATCCTTCTAAAAATATTAATTGAGCACCTGTTATGTTTCAGGCACTGGCATATGGTTAGTTGTACTATAATATGCAAAACGGTCTCATGTAATCTATGTTGCCAATTGCAGAAAACTTGTCAATTGCATTTATAATTTTTAAAATTACCCTTTTGTATACATAAATATATACTCAATCTTAAATATTTTCAGGACATTATACTTTCTTCTATAGTGTAGTCTTCTGTCGCCTGCAGCCCATACACATTTGCCTTACATTACATATCTGACTGAGGTACATGATGGCAGGGCCTTTGCTGCAGGGATTCCAACCCCCCTCTGTGCCAGGCTCAGCATGCTAGCAGAGACGCGGCTGCTTCGGGCTCATCTTCCTCAACCTAAGGGCTCACACATGGCTGCCACATTGTCATTCCCTTGGGTTGCCCGGAATAGACTTTACATGGAGCCTTTAACATCAAATCTGGCATCCTGATGCCAGCTCTGCAGAACTCAATTACCTGAAGTTTGTTCTCAGAATTTCACTTTGGAAGAAATTTGTACATTGTGGCAAAAGAATTTGATATAAAGATTCATTAGGATTTCCAGAGGCTGTTTTGGGCCAGCACATATTCAACCTAATCTCCAAGGTTATCCTGTTAATAGCTATGGGGTCATGCAGTCAGTCTAAATCTCAGCTCAGAAAGCACCAGAAAGCTTCTCCTAAATATACAGAGTAAATGGGTAGAAGGGTAAGTGCAGGAAATTGTGATTTCTCTTCTTATTGTGCCTTATCCAATTTGGTTTAGGAACAGAGACGCAGGGGTTGGAATTGCTGATCACTAGAGAGTTCTTCCTGAAAATAACAAGAGAGACCCATACTTCTCTACGTAACTACCCAGTATCTGAAGGACTACGTTAAGCAATGTGTGTAAAACTCATTGTCCTTTCAACATTTCCTCTTTCCTCTCTGCGTTTATGAGGCTCTTCTATGTCCAGCATATCAGCAACATCAGTTTAGAAAATAAAAAATTGTGATGGATCAGTACTACAGGTCATAAGATCAAATGTTGACTAATGCCTATGGCAGCAAAGAAAAATTGGCAAATTCGTGATCTCACTTAAGTTTCTACCACTAGAACTTGGAAGGAAAGTATTGTGAATTTGAGATCTTTAAAGATCTGCATTTATTTCTAGATGATCTGAATTAGGCAAATATTGAAGAGTGACATAACAATTAAAGGACACATTCTCTCTTAAGCTATTTTTACTTTTTCTTCTTGAAAGGAAGATCCATGCATTTGGTAGTCATTATTTTCTGCTATGGAAATTAGTTAAAACTTAGTCTTTAGCCACATTCTCTCTTATGCTTTTTCCCCCCACTCTGCAAATACTGAATGCCTGCAGTGTGTCAGGCATGATTCTAGGTACTTGGGGGTACCACAATGAATAAATGTGTTCCTGCTAGTGTGGGAGACAAAGGTTGTATCTTTAAAAGACTTAATAAAATTGATAAGCTCTTAAAAGGTACCCTACAGTATGGGAGAATATATTCATAAATGACAGATCCGATAAAGGCTTGACATCCAAAATATATAAAGAGCTCATGCACCTCAACAAACAAAAAGCAAATAATCCAATTAAAAAATGGGCGAGGAGCTGAACAGATGGTTCTCCAAAGAAGAAATTCAGATGGTCAACAGACACATGAAAAGATGCTCCACATCGCTAGTTATCAGAGAAATGCAAATTAAAACCACAATGAGATATCACCTCACACCAGTAACGATGGCTACCATCCAAAAGACAAACAACAACAAATGTTGGCAAGGTTGTGGAGAAAGGGGAACCCTCCTACACTGCTGCTGGGAATGTAAATTAGTTCAACCATTGTGGAAAGCAGTATGGAAGTTCCCCAAAATGCTCAAAATAGACTTACCATTTGACCCAGGAATTCCACTTCTAGGAATTTACCCTAAGGATGCAGCAGTCCAGTCTGAAAAAGACAGATGCACCCCTATGTTTATTGCAGCACTATTTACAATAGCCAAGAAATGGAAGCAACCTAAGTGTCCATCAGTAGATGAATGGATAAAGAAGATGTGGTACATATACACAATGGAATATTATTCAGCCATAAGAAGAATACAAATCCTACCATTTGCAACAACATGGATGGAGCTAGAGGGTATTATGCTCAGGAAATAAGCTAAGCAGAGAAAGACAAATGCCAAATGATTTCACTCATCTGTGGAGTATAAGAACAAAGGAAAAACTGAAGGAACAAAACAGCAGCAGAATCACAGAACCCAAGAATGGACTAACAGTTACCAAAGGGAAAGAGACTGGGGAGAATGGGAGGGATAAGGGTGGGGAAGAAGAAAGGGGGTATTATGATTAGCATGTATAATGTGGAGGGTGGGGGAAAGGGGAGAGCTTTGCAACACAGAGAAGACAAGTAGTGATTCTACAACATCTTACTATGCTGATGGACAGTGACTGTAATGGGGTTTGTGGGGGGGACTTGGGGTGGGGGAGAGCCTAGTAAACATAATGTTCTTCATGTAATTGTAGATTAATGATAACAAAATGAAAAAAAAGTATAAAAAAATTTTTTTTAAATTGTATATTACAATAAATACATTTCCAGAAATAGAAAAAAAAATTGATAAGCTCTTGACAGAAGTGATGAATGGAAAGAAGAGAGGAAGAATAAATGGAATTAAAAGGGAAATATAACCACAGATTCTGTATTTATTAAGAAGACAATATTTTATAGACCTATCTGCCATTGAATTAGAAAAATAGAAAAAATATACAAATGTCTAGAAAAAATATATCAAAACTGACTCAAGAAGAGATTAAAAAGTCTAAATGATCTTATAGTTATTAAAGAAACTGAACCAATTAAAAATCCTCCTACAAAGAAAATATCATCCCAAACAATTTTAGAGGTGCATTTCACTGATAATCTAAGGAATATGTAATTTCAAACTTTCACATTTACAAAGGGGAAATACTGTCTCAATTTATCTCATAAGGGGAGTAACAACTTGGGGCTAAAACCAGACAATGTCAGAAATGAATGGATAAAGAAGATGTGGTACATATACTCAAAGGGGTATTATTCAGCCATAAAAAGAAAAAGAAAGCCTCCCATTTGCAACAACATGGATGGAGCTAGAGGGTATTATGCTCAGTGCAATAAGCCAGGCAGAGAAAGACAAATACCATATGGTTTCACTTATTTGTGGAATATATAAACAAAGCAAAACATAAAATGGCAGTAGACACATAGACACTGAGAAGGGACTAGTGGTTACCAAGAAGGAGGGGTTGGGGAGAGGGGGGGAGGGGGAAGGGGATAAAGGGGCACAGTAATCTGCATCACAGTGTAAGTTGGTCACAGGGATGGTAGTACAGCCCAGAGAATATAGTTAATGATTCTGTAACATCTTACTATGTTGATAGATACTGACCGCAGTAGAGGGGGTGAGGACTTAATAATATGGGTAACTGTTGAACCACTGTGTTGTATATTTGAAATCAACATAAGATTGTATATCTATGGTATTTTAATAATAATAAGAATAATAACCAGACTAGGTCAGATAAGAAGGGACAATTACATGATATAAAAATGCAAAATGAAAATGTTAGCAAGCTGAATCCAGTAATATATTAACAAACTGTAGTAAATTATGGCCAAGTTTCATGTTTTCCAAAATGCAAGGTGAGTTAAACATTAGAAAGTATATTAATGTAATTTACCACTTTAAAGTTTGAGCTTAAAATGTGATCATCTTTGTAACTGCAGGAAAAACATTTGATAAAATTCAACAACCATTCTAGAAAATAAACTTGTAGATAACTGAAAAAGCAAATTTCCTGAACCTGTTGAAGAGTAACTACAAAAAGACCTATAGCAAACATAATATTTAATGGCAAAATGTTAAAAATGCTGTTTTATTTAAAATCAGAAATAAGACAAAAATGCCTGGTACTGCTTCAAAGCAAATGGTAAAGTGAGAAAAAATAATAAAATATAAGGATTAGAAAAAACAAAGATGGCATTATTGCAGATGAAACAAATTTCTATATAGCAATAAGAAAAATCAACAGTTTATGACTTTATCTCAGATATAGTAAAATCCTTAGACTTTCAAATGTAATTTACCTGAAGGAAGGAGAAGTTTAAGAGTTGAAATATGTTGGGCCTTAGCAGGTGTCAGGCTCGGTGCTAGATTGTTTATTTAAAATAATAATAATGATTATTATCACAGCTACCATTTATTGAATACTAACTCCCCTGCCAAGAACTGCATAAATTTTTACAGTTAATATTTCTAATCCTCACATAAACTTCCAAGTATTATTCAAGGTATTGTTATCCTTCTTTTATAGATGAGAAAACTGAGATTAGAAGAAAAGTTAACTCACCCAAATTTGCATAGCTGAACTTGGATTTCAAGTGTCAGAACTGGGATTTCAAAGAGGATCTGCTAAACTCTGAGCCTGAGTATTTTACAATATAGGCAGCTTCCCTGAGGTACAGAGCTTATGTCCTATTCATGTCCTTGATGCTCCATACATACCTGTGGACTGTTTCACTTGGAGCCCAAGTCAAAAACTTGTCTCACAAAGGGATCAGCACTTGTTAAGGATCAGGAGTCAGTGTCGTGAAAGCAGCTACCCCTCGTCCAGGATGTTCTGGTTCCTCTGTTTTTCTCCTTGGGACTGGAGGGAATTTCTAGGGAGCTTATACTGTTCTAGCACTGGAAAGAATAGAGGGCATCTCGGTTGGTGTGCTAGGGCTGCTGTAAGTAACAAAATACCACCGACAGGGTAGCTTACACAACAGAAATTTTTTTTTTTTCATATAATTTGGAGCCTAGAAGTCCAAGACCAAGTGTTAACAGGTTTGGTTTATTCTGAGGCCTCCCTCCTTGGCTTGCAGGCAGCCACCTCGCTGTCCCTCATCTGGTTGTCTCTCTGTGTTATTCGCGTCCTAGTCTCTTCTTCCTATAAGGACACTGGTTGTATCGGATTGGGGCCCACCATAGTGATCCACTTTAACTTCATTACCTCTTTAAAGACCTGGGCTTTGGGACTTTAACATGTGAATTTGGGGGGCGTACAGTCCAGCCTGTAACACCATCTCAGGAGAGCAGTAGGGTAGATTTGCAGTCTAGAGAGGTCGGGTACTTTCAAGTTATGTGTGGTAATGAGTCCCTGAGGGTAGTCCTCGGATAGAGGACAGCAGCAGGTGGCCCTGACCGGGCTTGGCTGGCAGCTCACAAGAGTGGGTCGCTCACCCTTCAGGCTCAGAGAACCATGCTCACTGGACTTACTGGTGAAAAGGCGAAGGCAAGGTCAGCTCCCCACTGACAACAGGGACAATCAACCGGAAACCCCTGCCTACTTGTTTTCCCTTCATCGATTGGGGACCTGCCAGGGCTTGGTGAGTGGCAGCTTCAGAACGCCCACCCAGCTGGCAGCCAGGCCTCCATCGATTTGTCAGCTCTGTTGGGACAACAGGACCTTAGAAGCAGTCTCAAATTTCCAGATGGATTCAGAAAATAATACAACTTTTACATTTCCTGGGAGTATTCTTTAAGGCCATGTTTTGGCCTCAGAGGCCACGTAGGGGCACACAGACTAGCGCATGGGAGCACGGGGAGAAACCTGCACAATAAAGCAGACTTGACAGCATCTCCTTTGTTTTTAGTCTCTCACCATGTTCCTTTTAGAAGAGAAACGGAACTTTCCTTTTGGAAGATAAACCTGGAGGCAGCTTTGAATTCAACCCAAAGGTAGTTTCCCGAAGAGCCAGGCCATCAGTTACTCCCTGCACAGGCCTGCAATTCGGTAAGGCAATACCGGAACTGTGCCTGCTGCGTGGAGACCGCGGGTCTCTGGTAACTCCTATAGTCATCACTTGGATTGACACCCACCTTCAGTCTGAAATTGATGAACTCACGCATAGCTGCATTTTTAAATTGCCATAGCATTGTGCACACAGAAACACAGAGGATTGGTGAATTGGGAGTTAGGTCTCTAGGGTTTCAATGGGGAGGGTATTAATAGTTTGAGTGATAGTTAAGTAGAGGAGGAGCATTTGAAGAACTTAATATTATTTTCTAACATAAATTTCTGGGATATACCACCTTTGTCATGATTCCTTAGGTTTTTTGACCGTGCTTGGACGGGAATATAGGATGTTCTTGAATACCTTGAATATCACAATTTACTTATAGCATCATAATGACATTACAAGTGAAATGGTTAAACTGCATGGAAGGCTGTCAGTGTTTATCAGATGTTTGCTGTATGCTTAGTACTATGCTAGTAACTATATATTCCTTATTTAATAATAAAAAATAATGTAGTGGTGGAAACATTTAGCATGAAGCTATAGCTTCAGCATAGATTCAAAGCTTGAAGGGAGTCACATGACATGCAGGGTGCCTGATCTGCTTACATACTCACACCTCTCTTCTCCCACCTCAGTTTCCACAAGCATAGTGGCTCCTATTGAATGGTGCATTAGGACAGACGGCCTTTAGGAGATACTCTGAATTTGAAAATCACCTCCATCCTTCTATTTTATTATCTCATAGCATTTCTTATGATCCTGTATTTTTCCTGTTTGTTACTATCTGGATCTCCTTTCTAGAATGTAGCCTATCTTGTTCTATACTGTATCCACAGGACCTTGAACAATGATGGGCACAGAGTAAAATTCAGTGGTTATTTCTTGCATGAATGTGTTAATGAAAAGACTCAGATGAATGATAGTAATCCAATCAACTGGCTGGCTGGTTTGGATTAGATAGTGATGTTTGTAAGAAATGAAAGCTCTTGCTGATGGTGGCAGAAATCTCAAGATTGTCCATGAGTTCACAGTAATATAAGACTGGACTTCTAACTTGCTATTGTAATGCCTGATACATAATTTAGTTCACTAAAACATACTTCCATTTTCATGTAATTACTATTTCTTAGTGGGGCACTAGTGTCAGACACAGTGCCAGTCCCTGCAGAAGCTGGAGTAAAATAGTAAATGGGGCTAGCATTTATTGAATGCTTACTGTATGCATGGACACCTGTGCAACTTTCCCTGCTATATAATATGTTATTGCCTGGATAGTACACATTTTTAATCTATGCACCTTTTGATGGACATTGGGTTTTATTATTGTTTGCCATTTATACTTAGGAACATTATAATATGTCACTGGAGGAATGTAGACAAGGATTTCTTTAGAGCATTGGTTCTCAAATCGTAGTTCTTGGACAAGGAATTTCATCTCCATCTCTGACCTACTGAGTGAGAATCTATAGGACCCAGCAATCGGGACTTTAGTCAGTTCTCCAGGAGATTATGATGCACAGTAGAACCATCTGGGTTGTTTTCCAAAAATACCAGTGGCTGCCTGCTACCTCAGAACCATTAAATCAGAATCACTTAGTATGAGACCGGGGGATTCTACTGTGTTGCCAGAGTTAAGAGTTATGGCTATTGGGTATATAAGTAGAAGTGGGATTTTCAGGTCATAGGGTCCAGGTTTGTCACATTTTGGTAAGAGAAGTCAAGTTGCTTTTCCAAAATGGTTGCTTCATCTGTGATTCTTTACACTCCCACCAGCTCTTCGTGACTGTTCCTGTTGCTCCACATCTTGAGCAAGAACTCTGTTGTTTGACACTTTAACTGTTGCCATTTTGACAGGTAAGAAGTGGTATCTTATTATAATTTTAGTTTATATTTATTTAACAATGGGGCTGAGCATAATTTTTATATGTTTAAAAGCCATCAATATTTTTACTTCTATGAAAAATGCCTGTTCATATCTTCTGTCATTTTTTCCTTCCTCAGTTATCTTTTTATTGATTTGTAGTAATTTTTTATGTATTCTGGATGCTAATTCTTTGTCAGTTATACATAAAGAATATATCGTCCTTCTAGTTTTTGGTTTACCTATTTAAACTCATTAAGAGTATTTCGGATAACAGAAATTCTTTCATGTCATTGAATTTCTCTTTTGTCTGTTAGGGATTGTAGGTTTTTTGGTCCTGTTTGAGAAATCTTTCTTTGTCTAAAGTCCAAAAGACATTCTCCCATACTTTCTTCTAAATGTGTTATACTTTTGCCTTTCATTCTTAAGTACTTAATCCATCTTGAATCTTTTAAATCAATGGTCTAAAGTAAATACCTGTTTTAACTTATTTTCCTTATGGATAAACAATTGTCTAGTACCATTTTACTACATAATCCATCCTTTCTCTACTAAACTGCCATACCAGCCTTGTTCACACATTTGTTTTAGACAGGTACATGGGTCTGTTTCGGAGCTATTTTATCTATAGGTCAAACTTTTTTTCTAAAATCCATAAGCCAGTTCTTCACTGTTTAATTATTATAGATTATAATCAGTCCTGACACATGACAGGGCAAGTCCCCTACCTAGTTTTTCTCCAAGAACTTCTTGAGTATTCTTGGTGCTTTGTACTTCAGTGGCAACAATTACCTTGTCAGGTACCATGAAAAGTCTTCCTATAATTTTGATTAGAAATGCGTTGAATCTTTAGATCCCTGAAGTGATGTATTTTACATATTACTCACATTTTACAATTGTTGGTATCTGTAAATATACATGGAATTGGTTTTTATATATTGATCTGGAATATATTAGTCTGGCAACTTACCTACTTTTTTTACTCTAACAATTTGATAGATTAACAAAATTTTCTATGCAAACAATTCTATCATCTGTAAATAATTGTTTTCTTTTTTTTAATCCTTACACTGTATATGTACTTTCCTTACTACTGTATAGAAGTGGTGACAGTAGGCACCCTGCCTTGTTCCTGATTTTAAAGGTACTGATGTTTTCAACATTTCTTCATTGATTAATATATTTGTGGTAGGATTTTTGTTTTGTTTTCTTTCTTTTTTAGCTTCTCTCAAATGTGCTAAGAAAGGTTCCTTCTATTAATAGTCAGCTAAGAACATCTTGAATAGGTGTTGAATTTTATCAATTGTTTTTTTCTGTCTGTATCAAAATAATTAGTTAGGATTTTCCATTTAGTTCATTAATATGCTGAATTGCATTATAAGATCTTCTAATGTTGACTCAACTTTGCATTTGTAGAATACATGCCACTAGTCATGATTCATTTTCTTACAGTCAGCCTTTGGTTTCCTAGCGGTTTAGTTCAGGATATATTTACATTTATTTTAGTGGGTAAGATCAGCATATGATATTCCTTTTTTGTACTGTCCTCTCTCCTGTTCATATCAAGGTTTTACTCACTTCACAAAGTATGTCGGGAGAGTAGACCCTCTTTTCCTGTACTATGAAAATATTTATAGTAAATGGGAATTATATGCTTCTTAATGTTTGCTAGAATTCTCTGAAATTATGTTGCCATGCCCCTTCCCCATCACACCTCCACAGCAAGGTTAGAAGTACTCTGATTTCTAACACCATCGGCCTGTTTCTGAATTAATATAAACCAAACTCTATAGGATGTGTCAGTCAATGTGTTTTGAGCACTCATATATTTCTTTAATGGTTATAGAGTTATTCTCCTTTTTCTTCTTTATATTCTTTTTGATGTACATTTTTTTGAAAATTTGTTTTAGTTCATCTAAGTTTTCACATTGGTGGGTATAGACTTTTTCAAAGACCTTTTTATTACTTCTTTAAATTAATGCAGTGTCAGTAGTTAGGTTTCCACTTTATTTCAGCCATTAATTTACTAGATCTGTCTTGTTAAAACTTTGTCATTATTTATTAGTCCTTTTAAAAACTAACTTCTGGCTCTGCTTTCTGTTTAGTTTCTATTACATTACTTTCTGTCTTATTTTAAAAATCTTTCTTCTGCTCTTGGACAAATTCATAGGCTGAAGAAAATTAGGAAAACAAATTTTATTTTTTTTCTTTGGAAAATATTTTATGTCCTCTAGATGCTGACAGAATTGTACAAAAATTTGTTTTCCCTGAATTGTTTCACATTTAAAATATTTTTAAAAGACCATTCAAATTGTTTTCAGGTTCCAGACCACAAAAATTAAGTTGCAAATAAATAATACAAGCAAAGAAGACACTGAAAATAGATGGCAAACAATTTTAGAAAACTATTTCCCCTCTATTATTCTACCTCATCTCATCACATTGCAGCTCTTGGCCATATAAATTCCAGTTGAACATGGGCTTTCCAGTTTTTCCATATTTAATCGAAGAATAAAATCCCAGCATCTACATAACATTTGTTCCAAATATGAAAATTTAGTATAGTCAAGAAGGACAACATATTAGTAACATCATTTAAACATGTCCAAGCTACTCAAAGATGAGGTGTGCCACTCCCCTCATTTTATGATTCAGTGACATAGGATAACGCTTACTCACCTCCAAATCTGTGTCCACTCTCAATCTCCAAAGCCTGTTATGCTTGGAGTTCATTTGAGTATATGATAGAGCAAAAAAATGTTCAAGCCTACAGTTACAGAAAAAAAAAATTCCTAAGATTAGGAAGGGTTTTTTTTTACCCAATTTAAGGATCAGCTTTGATCTAAATGAAGCACAGGGTGAGACATTCATTAGGAATGAACAGACATCAAAATGATATTGGTGAGTCTAATTATGATATGTATGTTTACATGTATTTCCTTCTGACTTATTAGAACAACAAAAAATAACCCTTCAATATGTTAAAACTACTTAGAAAATGGCAGTTCAGTATTTCATTGACAATATTGAATCATTAGTATCTCCTCCTATCCAATTTCTGCAACATTTGACATGTTGGTCAAGACCAGCTAGTCAAAGATACTCATTTCTCCTTGGGTTTCTAAGATAGTAAATTCTCCTGGCTCTCCTCTCTTTCTGTCTGCAGTTTTCCCTCCCTCCTCCCAACACCCTACCACCAGCTATTAAATGTTGGCATAATACAAGATTTTATAGTTTGCTATTGAATCATCTCATTAGACCTCATACTTGAATTAATTCCAAATCTTTATCTCTGTGTATTCTTTTGTTTCTCTAGGTCCATGTTTCTATTTACCTACTTAATTTTTTCCAGCAAGACAACCCACAGATAATTTAAATTCACTGTGTAAAAGAGAAATCATAATTTTCCCATTTCATACCTACTCACCCAGTCTAGAAATCTTCGCTTTCTCAATGTCTCACTGCTTTACCACTCACATATAATTATAGGCAAAATCCAGTTAAATATATAGCCAACAGTTACACTTCCCCGCTTTTATTTATAGTGCTCCCTCTTCTTGAAATTTCAGTAAAAATTCAATTCATTTTTCAAGAGCTAACTCCAAAATGAACACATCTATATGTCTCTCTCAATACACCTCAATGGGATGAATCGTTTCTTATTTTTAATTTTCTTATTTTGAAAAATCGTTCTTATTTGGTAAGATATAAGTGACATACTTTAGGTATGCATACATATGAAAATCCCTTAATATAAGTTGTAAGATTGGGGGTGTGGCTATTTCTTACTTGTTTGTATATTTCTCACTGAACCTAATATAGTGCCATGAAGCGTTAGGCTTTCAATAAATATTTCCTACAGTGAAAAGATGTGTGTATGGATATTCTACCTATTCCAAATCAAACTAGCAACACCTGCTCTACTGCAAAAACAGAAGACAACCCCCCAAAAGTGCTATCATGTTTGCATATACTAAAGCTTTTAAAACTATACTTTTATTTGGTATCAGCTTTAAGGTCATTAGAAAAGGTAACTTTAGTATGTATCAGCTATTAAATGGCATTGAAGCAAAGCAGGCAGAGACCAAACAAAACACACTCACACATACACACTCGGTTTGTCTAATCCTAGAAGGATCTGATAAGAATTTCAGTTTAATGTAACATATGTTTAGCATTTACTATAAACAAGGCATTAAGGGCAAAAAAAGATGAATTAGACATTTTTCAAAGGTGTTCCTCTAGCTCTTTTTTTGCTTTACCAAAAATATTTTCTTAATCTTAGAATGACTCTTGTCTCTAGCTAAGAAATCTTTAACATGGTATTATTTGCTATTCACAAGATGATTCTATTTTCCTTGTTAATTTTATTGGCTACTTGTAATATAGTTGCATTTTCACAGGCTCGAAGGTGCCAAGATAACAGAGTGGTTAAGGATAGAAATCATGTGGATGATCCTGATAACATCAGGAATGTTTCATGGTAATACAGGACGATATCCACTTATTTCTCATAAAATGTCCCAAACATTAAACAAGTTGTCCAAAAGAGGTAACCCACGAACTTTCTTCAATGATTTTGAAAGTATGAGCACAGTAATCACTCATACAATTCTAAATTACTTGCAAAATCAGAGATAAAAATAATCATTTTAAATCAACCGTTTTTAGATTTACTACCCACTTGGAGGATCTAATGACATAGCACACTTTCATTGCTTCTGTGAACCACAACATACATACCATATTGTTTACTTCTAACAGGAAAAAGCTACTTTTGACACATGTAATTTAATAATAATTCCTGAGGCCATTCATGTCTGAGTCCTAGAAGTGGAATTTCCTGCACTTTGGATATTCCACGTTGGAAATATTGCTGGTTTGGCAGAGTGAAAAATAGATGGCTCTGGCTCTGTCGGGAAGTAGCACTCTGAGCCGGATCGCTGTGACATCCCTGCGCTTCCCTCTTATGCTTGGTGAGTTGCAAGGAATT